TTCTTTGTTCCGTTGATTTTTAATTGTTGATGTTACTGATTTCTGAGATTTGTTCTTTTGCATATTCTGTGTCGGCTGTTTATTTGGTAGGCCTATTACAGTTTGTGTGCTTACTGATTTAAAGGATTTTAATGCACCGACACAGGACAAATATTTTCAGGGCTGAGCATCTGTTACTAATTTGTTTGCTTCTGCATAAGATATATTTTCCATTACTTTTACTGTCTACACCTCCCTTTTTTATTTCTACTTCAGACATTGTCATGAGAATGCTGTGTGGTTTCCTTTGCAATTTGCGCATAGTGGCTCAACATTGGAATTTTTGCTGTCATGGCGTTCCACAGAGCAGGGCGCACAAGTGATTTTGAAACAGCAGGACATTTTCAAATGGCCAAAGTGCTGGCACTGGAAACATGGCAAAGGGTTCAGTATGTAAGGTCTTATGGGGTATTGTTAGCACCGGGCCTTAATACTTTTTGGCAGATCAAGCAAACTGAAGGTCAGGATTGTACTAATCAACTGACCTTCTTTGTGCATCTTGATCCATCTTGCAGCACAGACATTCTGGTCAGACAACTCAGAGACAATTTCCTCTTCTGAAATGTAAAGGAGGTTAATCTCTGAGATAATACCATGAGAAAAATTGAGTGTTTTATGTGCTGACACTTTAACATCGATTTTTCCAAGTTTGTTCAATCCATGGAATGTTGCAGACTGAGTAGCTGATATAGTTTCAACAAGATCTCCAGAGCACAACCGTTTGATATTCTTCAGTTCCCCAATTGAAGATTGTATGTACTTTTGATTTAAGAATGGTGACACCTTTTTGAGATTGCCTGCGAAATCGTTTATGACAAGAAATTGCGGTGGCCTTACTGGATTTATATCTGGATTTGCATTTACATTATTTTTTACTCATTTTGATGCATAATTATGCTCATTTTTATATATTAAATTTTTTTGAGCCATATTGAAAGAAAAAAATTAAGATTCGGACCTGGCAGCCCCACCCACCACACAGCCCAACAATGGGATGCAGAAACATGTGCCAGGGTTAAGTGGGTCTATACGCAATCTGAAGCCCCACAGTCAGCTTTCCCAAAAGCAAGAACCCCGGAAAGCTTATCCCCAAGCCACTGACCCTAAGGACGATTGACACTAGTGGGAACAACTAAGTGCTTCCCGTTTCAATCTGAAGCAGAATCCAAAGCAGTGTGTTGGGGACAGTACCTCGCCCTTCAACTACAAGGACTCTCCATTCCAGGGTTATGGGTCAAAATGCACGGCAAACGCATAGATGGTTTTCTCTCTGTGAGAAACTAGAAACAAAGGGATGTATTAGAATCTCACTTTGTGCCCAAATCTCTGAAAAGGAAAACCACAAGGGCAGAAGAAAAGAAATTAGCACAGATAAATAATATTCTGCCAAAGATAAAGAGAGATGAAAAAGAAAGGAGGAAAGATCACTAGGGCTCCAGGATCATGACCCCCGTCTCACCAAGATGATCCCCTGAAGAGCTATTGCCTCACAAGTACTCACAAAAGTGAGCCCCTGATGAGCATGCACTAAAAACTGTTTGTGTGTTGACTGACTTTAGAGCAGCAGTGTAGGGCTGCATCCACAAAAATATTCCTAGTACATGAATTATTAATTTTATATTCACCATATTTAAAAGTTCTTTAATAAATAAAAGTTTTCCTTTGTACTTGGCAGTTTCTCAGTACAAAAGTGTAAGAAAGTTAATGAAATTAGCCAAAGAACATAAAATGTACAACATCAAATTAAAAGCTAATATGTTTTACATCAGAAATGAATTGTTAATAGTTCAATAACCTGAATCATGCATCATGAAGAGTGCTAATGACTATCCTCTTTGTTTCTGTATATGGCACATTTCTGGTTCCTTTGACACACTAGAGTGACCAATTGACAACCAATTACAGAATTGGTTGACATTAAATGTTTTTAATGAATAACCAGCTTTAAGCTGGCAAGAAACTTCTGCTTAAATTTCAGAAAGCAAATTACCATTAAATGTTTTAATAAGAAATACATTTCTGAGGTAGCTTTTGGGAAAATTAAGTCATCCTTTAATTCCTTGTATTAAAGGTTAAAGATATTACATTATGTGAAACACCATGCGAAAGCCATCTTGAAAAATTTCAACTGACATATATTATCATGAAATGTTACTTAGTAATAACTTTCTTCATGAAAATAAGGTAAAGTTGCATTTTTACCTAATTTTAGATTTTACACTACCATGCTTTGCTTCCAGTTTGATAAAAGTCGATGGCTTGTAAATATATCATCAAAAAAATGACATAAGAAAAGGGTCAAAAATTAATTTGAGATTTTTTTCTTCTTCAAGATTTGCTGAATAACTTAACAAGAAAGTGCAAAAAACACACATTTTCAGTCCTCATTTCACAAGCTTTATATGGGCATGCATATTGCAAAGTACTTATTCTTCTAGGTTGATACAATGCAAAAACATATAGCATAGTAAGCATACATGATCATCAGCAAGGAAAGTCTAAGACAGAGGTTGCAAGAGAGAAGGAAAAAATGAGGGACTAATATCAAGTATGGTCTCCTCTAAAAGTGATACATTTCTCACAACATGACTCCATATAGTGGAACTGAGGCAGTTTATGTGTCAGTGATGCCTCAAGTCCTGGAGGATTCTGGGAGGGAAAAGATGAGTTGCAATTGCCCTCCTAAGAGCATCCCAGACTGTTCTATAAGGTTTAGGTCTAGAGATTTGTTTGCCCAATCGATCTTGTTAATAACATCACTTTCCAAAATATCATCCACAATATTAGCCCTATGCGCACAAGCAATGCCGTCTATAAAAATGAACTGAGGGCCAAGTGCACCGCTGAAAAGGAGAACATAGGCCTCTTAGATCTCTTCCCTACACCTTGCAGCAATCTCAGAGCCTTCATCACCATCCAACAAGATGTTTGCTCAAACTATCAAATATCCATTGCCATATTGGGCCTTTCTCAAATACTGGAGGTCAGGCAGCAGGTTCCTAATTTTCACCAGATTAAGAGAATCAGTGGAATCAATGGAATCTTAATCAGGACTCATGTAAAACGAACAATGCCCACTGATATCATTAACAAAATTGGAAGTTTTCCACATTGTTAAAAATGCTCTTTTAATTGCAGGAGTAAGCAGGTCTTTTTGCAAACAGATTTTTTTCATGTAGCATCCCAAAAACAGTAACCCCTTCTTTTTGTGGCCACATGAAGGTCAAAAGAGAGCTGAAAACTGCTGCATTTCCAAAATATTGTACAACCTAAATGAATAAATATTGATCTTTACTGAATATCATGGCCTTTGGATAGCCTTGAACAGGCTTTTTCTCAACAAAGGCAATATCCTAAATCGTTTCCGTAAGTTGAACACACTCATTGACACACAAATCTCTAACTTGCATACGAGACAGCCCAGCTTTCAAGCTCTCTGAATTTCTTCACCTTATTTTATTATCCAAACATTGATGGTTGCTCATTTTAACAGTCTGCTTTTGAATTTGGAAAGAAACCAAGAAAATCACTAAAAAGTGAGAGTGAACACAAAGTGGAAAAAGCCACGTGCTCTTTTAACACTGCTTACCTTAAATACTCATCTTACATGACTGTATTTGTTTGGGCAATTCAAAAGTACATAATAGTGTTTTTTGTTTGGAAACATAAATTGAAAACATATATCTTTCACGGAAAAAAATCATCAAAATATGCAAATTTTCTTAATTCTGAAAATTGGTATAAAGTGACCCTACAATCATCTTGAATTAGAATCTTTCTATCCACCCTAAAACCATAGCATCTTTTAGCATAAAGGTTTATGCTAAAAATTTAACAAAAATGAGAAAAATGCAGTAATACAGAAAAGTACAAATTTCATTCATAGCAAGAAAGTCTTTTTTGTCAGTTCAACAATCAAAGCAGATTGCAAGATAAAAATGCACTTCCTTCCCACCACACCTCTTGAAATGAAGGAAAGGGAAGCATTTTCATCACACGGCTGACGTAAGCCCGCTTTCAGCTTGAAAAGGAATCTTGTATATGCTTGAAGTGGATTTTTTTTAATTTAGAAACAAACAAGCTGTTACATTTTTCTGCCAAAGTTGCACAAATGCAACAATCTAGCTTTTAAAGAAAATATAAGTTATTGAAAAAGATATAAAAATGAAGCAATTTTCAAAAAATATAATTTCCTGGGAAATTTTTTTAACCAATTAGAAGTGTGCTTAATACATATTCATTTTCACCAAAATTATTGATATTTATTGACTGATTATGATTGACTTTCTGAAGTTTCTCTCATTTTGATGTGAATACTAGGCAAGTACTTTCAAAATTTCTTTTGCAAAGTCATAATGAGTAACATAGATATAAGATGCATCTCCCTAAATCTCTCTAAGAGTATCCCCCATTAAAACACTCTTACTGGGGTAGATAACTCTTATATTTCTGATACATCAACAAACAAACAAAAAAAAAAAAAAAAAAAAAAAGTTATATTTAACAATTATAAATTATATTTAGCAATTTAAAGCATTTTTTAAAAAATGGGGGGATGATGACAGTAATTTTTATTTTTTTATTTTTAGGAACAAGGAGACAAATTATTAAATCAGAGTGAAAAAGCTTCTGACCAAGTATTAATTAAACACTACGAAGAGGTCTACAATCCACAGGGAAAAAGTAAATCCTACATTCTTAAATGAACATAATATAAAATATTAATTTAAAAAGTTCTTATTATATTTTACACAATCTGCAAATTGTCCCCATTCAGTACTTTCACATCAATATTTAATTTATTACAATTTAATTTACTTGAAGTAAATGTCTCACTATCACTACTCTTCACAACTTTATAACTGCATCATTTTTATATCAACTTTTTATGCTTAGTCTCCACCTCTTTAAATCACCAAAGAAGCCTACATCTGCTTCCAGACATTTAATAAATTTCTCACCCGGTTCGTCACTTCCATCCAAGCAATCACAGTAGTCATCATTCACAAAACTAAATGGAATTGTACTTGAGCCATCTATACAGTTGAAATCTTTTTCAGGCACATAGAAAACTTTCTCTGCAAGAAAAATCTAAAATTATATTTAGAAACTAAATGACAACACTAAAGCTTTAAACAATTTATATAAGAAACACACATTACTAATCTAAAGGGAACATTCATATTTATGATGAGATAATAAGCTAACAAAAAATATGTATGACTACAATAATAAAAATTGTAAATTATCCAATGTTTTGAATTATAAATACTCCAAGAAAACTAAGAGAAGTACAATTAATAAGCAACTTCTTTTTTTAAAAAATAGGATACATACAAGAGTGCATTAATTCTGAATTACAATATTCACCAATAATAACGTTTCTTAACACCACCTTTTTCTAGCATACCTATGTACTTATTTTTAGTTTGTTCTGTAAGATAATGGGAGATTACCATGATCACTTCATTCAATCAGTACATTTTCTAAAATCAATAAATTTGCATACTGTGCACAAAAGCTTTGAAAAATATGTACAGCAACATGCTGAACATATTAACATCTGCACACTTAATATTTATAATAATACTCTTACGTCTCTAGCTGTGACTTCAGGAGATTTTCTACTACAGTTACAAAGAAGCACTGAGATGTGGTGGGCAAAGCTTGCAGGGAAGGAGGAGAGTAAGTGAGAGGCCGCTATGTATACCGCCTGGTTGGAACGTTGAGTGAACTGCAAGGTCCCACTGTGGTAAGTAGCTGTTACAGGAAATTTAAAGTTGGAGGAAGAGAACCCGTGTAACCTAGAATCTTCTAGCAGAAATAAAAGGATTATACTAGTTTATCTCAATATGGCGTAAATTCATTTTTACATCACCTTGACTTAAGTGTTAAAGTGGCAGCTAGCTGATGAATTTACAACAATAAGCTGTGTGTTTAGCTATCTTGAACATGAATTAGGAAGAAATGTCAAAAAGAGAGTATTAAAATCGCAAATAATGAAATGTAGCTAATATAAACACAATACAAAAATATTTTTAATTCTTTAATAGCCATCTCTTTAAGATAAAATCAACTGGTTAGCGTAAAATTACCTTACGTTATATAATTAGAAGGAATGTATCCCTAGGAAGGCCTATAAATGATAAACTCAACCATATGCTTACATACGAAACCATCACAACAGACGACATTCTAACATCATACCAGGCGACGACATTTCATACGACCATCACAACAGACATTCTGAACATGGAAAACCGAGTGAATAGAACATAACTTTTCAATTCTTTACATTCCTCAAGAATAAGATATACTAATTTGAAGTAACATGGGGTTGTCAGAAGGCCTACCTTACTAAGAGATTCAGGGAATGGAATTAAGGTAATTCGTGCGATTGTCACTTTCTCATCCAACAGATTATGTCTAGCGTGTGGAAATGAGAAAATTATTTATATTTCAGCTTCGGTGAACCAACAGAGCTAAATTATGCGCCTGCTTAATGCTGTTGGCTGAAAATCATTCTAACACTTAAACAGATGTCTGAACTAATCCATGAGACTTAGAATGGAAATCTTTATTATCTTCACTGCATATTGGGTCAGAATCACATAAATGCTGACTTATGTTCATGTGAATTTATTTTAAAGAAGTATAATGTATTTAGTAGCGAACTAAAATAAATATTTGATCAGCTGTACATAAAGAGTGAGGAAAATGATATTGAGCACAGTTTAGCATTCAAAAAAGTCTAGAAGATGTAATCTTAACATTAAATAGAAAATCTGTAGCAATTAAGTTGGGTCTGAAGTCAGAGACAAAGGCTCAAGAAATGGCTTCAGAAAGTTTTACTCCCAAAATTAAACTTTCCGACATTTAGTGCAAATTTGGAGAAGCGGATAACTTTTAATGATATGTTTAATGCATGTGTGCATAGTAATCCTATGAGGGTTGTAATCCTAGGGGTTACAAGACTGATAACAAAATAAATACATTTATTGCGAATGCTAAATATATCTACAGTAAAAAATATCACAATTTGCTCAAGCGCACAAAATTCTTTCAACCAGACATATAAAAGAGAATTGAATATATAAAAAATAATAATTTGTGTTTCAATTGTCTTTCAAACATGCATAAGGTTAAAAACTGTAAATGTGTACATGAATGTAAACATTGTAGAAAGCTTTATCCCATGTAACATGTATACAGAGGTTAAACATATCACAGCACAAATCTTTTCCTTCGATGCACGCCAACCCATTTATTCCTAAAAGTCATAACTGGTCAAATCCTACTATACAATCCAAAGACTAGCCAAATCAACTATGGTCCATGCAAGTGCTTCAAACACAGCATAGTCAAATTTTACTCTACAGTGATTACAATTCAGAATGCAAAAAAAGAGTAAAATACAGATGTTTGCTGGATACTGGAAGTCAAATTTCAGTCATTACTAGAGAGTGCACAGAAAGTTTGGGTTTGAATGTGAAAGATAGTTTAATTTCAGTTTCAGGTCCAGGCACTTTTAACACTGTGAGTAATTGAGAAGTTGATTCATTGTTTATTTCCCATTTTAATAATGACTTCAAAATTTCAACTACTGCTTCTATTTAAAGACAATCTCCCTTTTGTGTATTTAACCTAATGATATTGGTGGTGACTTTAGTGATCTGGTTTTAGCTGATCTATCATTTTATAAATCAAGTAGAGTTGACATTTTATTAAAAATAAATGTATTTTTAATTTTAATAAACGGAAACATGATAAGTGTGATGAAAATTTACCTTTTGCCGGTTTCAAAACTAGGTTGGATTAATGCAAGGGCAACAGTTTTTGAGATTTCTAAACAGAGTAATACAGTCAGTAAAACACGTAAGGTTAAATACTGAAGAATTAGTTATGTTATGTAGAAGTGAAGGGGCCACCTAATATTTACACTAAGTAAGGTAGGTATTAGCCCCACACACTAACTAGAAAACTAACAACATTCTGGCATCATTCCTCGAGTCGTGATGGAAATTGCGACTCCAGACCATCACTACAAATTCTGCCACTACCGGCGGCATCAATAGTACTCCTAACCTTTCAGCAGTAAATTAGCTCAAGTAAAATGGATTACATTACAAGATATTATACATAGTTGTACAGGTGTATGTTTCAAGATGTTATCTACTGTCATGGGTACAGGCATCATGTTTCAGGACATTATATATTGCAGTGGAAATACAATAGGCATGATGTTCCCATGTTACAAATCATTTTTGCACACATGATCTGTTTACATCAGTGTTTATTACCAGAAATAAGTTAGAACTATAAAATTGTTTACAAAGCTTACATTTAAATACATAATAAGTATAGTTGCGCTAAAACTTTAGCAGTTCAATTTTGATGATTCATTATGTGCTGTAATATATGTTTTTGTGATAATTGATTTTCAGAAATTACATTATATCAAACAGTACATACTCACATGTAAAGCTTGATCATGACATTATAAATTGTGAGGGCTAGAAGCAACTTATTTCTAGTTTATAGATCTTGTTTACATCATTATTTACAATCAGCAGTCAAAATTTTAAAAAAAATATAAAATAATAATAAAAAGGACATAAATAAATAAGTTTGAAAACAGAAGGAAAAAAAAAATAGCTTCATCTGCATACTTATGCATACTACGTTCTTTTAGATATATCTGCATACATATTCTGATAAATTGCATAATTATTTTTGTAAGTTCACTGTGCGTTTTTACAATAATCAGTTTACAAAAATTACATTTAATGATACTTTACATTGTTAATACTTTAGCAATTAGTATACCCTGGTAATTTATTATGTATGTTCGCTTTTCAGCTGATGATACCTTATGTTACATAGAAATCTAGGGGTCATCTATTATTTACCTTATTATGTGTCTTGCCTTAATTAGAATAAACTAAATAGAAAGTAGCCCAAGTCATTTTGGAAATTAGAAAGTATCCCAGAGTCATAGCTTCTTATAGCAGAAGAAAGGTTATCAGGGTTCATACACATTTCTGCACACGGAAATTAAATACTTTTAAGGACTTTTAAAGACCATTAATGAAAAAAATTAAGGACCTATGAGAAAATGGGAACTGAATAAATTCAATTAAAAATATTATCTATGCCCGAACTTCCCTTACCATCCTAAATCTGTAATACCATCCTAAAAATAAAATAGATCTGTTAGTAGGATGCATTATTATTAAACATAACTTAATAACATAATTATTAATAAGTTTGAGAATAAAATAAACTTTATGAAATTTATCAAGTACAATTAAATATTTTACACTTATAATAGTCAGACATATTTGAAAGAAGATAAGTGACATTTTATTTACATTTTACATACAGTAATTTTTTTTTTTTTTTAAAGTGACTTTTATATTGAAGCATGTGGTGACCTCGCTGGCTAACAGGATTTCCAAGCACGAAGATCATATTGTTTCTAAGTGCAAGAAGGAATCTTTCTTTTCTTTTCTGTTTCCTGCATTTTTTTAAATGGGGAAGGAGATGTATAAAATTAATAATTTAATTTTTTTTTTATTCTTGATTTTAAAGAGGGCGAAGAGTTTGCTTTATAATCTATGTTAATTTCAAAATTTTAAAACAATTAGTTGTTAACATTGTAAAATGGGAAACGTACAATGGTCGGAAAAGAGAGAGGGATTTTTGAAAAAATTGCCAAAAGATGGTAAATTATGTTAGAGATTACCAGAAAACTTCATTTTAAAGTTGTTTTTTTTTTTCTGATGTGTCCGATAATAAAAACGGTAAAATGCTGGGAGTATTAGTTCGATCGTTAAAAGTAAAGCAGTTTGCGAAAATTTCATAAAAAAATATTTTTTCATTACATACATTTAAAAAAAAAAAAAAAAGAAGAAGAAGAAGGACTGAAATTTAAAAATGTCTTTTCAAGGTGCATAAGTTCTTTTTGTGGATAATTTTTGTGCCAAATTTCTTAGCTGTGAATCTATATATTATTGCGCTATGCTATACATATACACTCTACATTATACCTATTTTATTCTGAAACTTTTTTTAACGG